ATGCCCCGGCCTCCGCTCAACCACCGCCCGGGGCTGTGACACCCAGTGACCCGGCAGGGCGAGGCGGTGAACGGCAGCTGCCCCCCCCCACACACCCCGGCCGTCTGGGGGAAGTGGCCGAGGGCCTGGTGCGGAGCAGATCAGCTCCGGGTGGTGTGGGTCGGGAGGCGCCCGAGATCGGCCCCCCTGAGGGCTTCCAGAAGCTTCCGCTGTAACCCAGGAGGTGAATGGCTGAGGGGTCCTGAGAGAAGTGAGAGCGGAGACCCAGGCTGAGACCCCGGAGAGTGGCTGGCGTGTTGTGGGAGCTGGGGCCGGGCGTTGTTAGCCTTGGGTAGTGAGAAAGGTGGATCGCGGCCCTTCCCAGGGCTTGGGTGAAATTTTTAGGAATTGGTGATTTAGGAATATTAGAGATTAAAAAACACAGGGCTGAGCCGGGCGGTGGTGGTGCACGCCTTTAATCCCAGCACTCGGGAGGCAGAGCCAGGCCGATCTCTGTAAGTTCAAGGCCAGCCTGGGCTACAGAGTGAGTTCCAGGAAAGGCACAAAGCTACACAGAGAAACCCTGTCTCAAAAACAACAAAACAAACAACAACAAACCCACAGGGCTGGTCTGGGAGTGGTGGTGCATGCAGGAGTTTCTCTCCGAGTTCGAGACCAGCCTACATAGTGAGTTCCAGAACAGCCTGGGCTACATACTCGACCCTGTCTCAAAGGGAAAAAAAAAAAAGGGGCGGGGGAGCTTGTTGGTGCCCCCCTGTGATCCCTGAACTCCGGGAGTGGAGACAAGAAGGGTCAGGAGATGCAGGTAACCCTCGGCTGCATAGGGAGTTCAAAGCCAGCCCAGACTTCTTAAGACACTTTTTGTCTCACAAAAAGAAAAATGAGAGATTTGGTCACCCCTTTTTATCAGTGATAATTGACCATCCTAAAGGAAATCTGACACACAGCAGCCCATTATCCACTGCATGCAGCAAACCCCTTCAGAGATGACCCAGTCACTTGAAGTTAAGAGCCTGAGATGGGCTTCGATGTTTTCTAATACAGAGATACATTAAAATATATGCTTTGTGAGACGGCATCTCACTAGGAAGCCCGGCCTGCCCTAGCACACCTAATCCTCCTGCCTTAGCTTCCCCAGTGCTCAGATTATAGGCTTAGGCTGCTGAGCCCAGCTCTACGATATTTAAAGCAATACCGTCTGAATACCGGGTGAGGAATGCCAAGCGAACACCAAGATTTTCAGCTCGTGGATGCTCCCGGCCCAGCACTGCTCTGTCTACACCCCCATCACTGCCCCATTCTTCTTCAGGGACTCTTCCACATCCATCTTCCTGTAATGCCTGGACACCTGGGGGTGGTGAGAATAAAGAGCAAGCAGTGTGCCTTCCCACGAAAAGGTCATAATGTAGTGTCTCCCCTGACTTCCATCAAAGGCCAAAAGCCAACCTTATTGTTTTATAGCCGTCAAGGGAGTCCGTGGAGTTACGTCTTTGCAGTATCTGGAGAGAGGTCTGGGGCTGGTACAAGATTTGGGGGATTTGGTTTAAAGCAGGTCTTTCGGCTAGGAGACTTAACTGGGATTGAGTGGTGTAACAGTTTAGGGTGGGAAAGGGGAGGGTTTTGAAGCCTAGGAGAGTGTAATGGTGGGTAAGCCCAGTAATCTTGCTGAGGTGGGGGCTGTTTACCCTGAGAGTTTGGTTACTGTTGTAGCCTTCCAAAAAAAAAAAAAAAAAAAAAAAAAGGATTTGAGGAAGTCCCTGCCTGAACGTCCAATAAAATATTTGCAGATTCATCTTCCTGGATGAGGATTTCTTGAAATTTGTCATGCGTACAGACCAGGTGTGGTGGTGACCGCTTGTCATCACAGCATTCTGCAGGCTGAGACAGGAGAATCTTGAGGTGAGGTCAACCCTTGGGGTTCATAAGACCTAGTCTTCAAGGCAAGCAATCAAGCAAAGTAAGAGAAAGGAGAATGAGAAGGTAATGGGGGAGAGAAAATGGCCAAAATGTATCACATACATGTGTGAAATTGTCAAAGAATTTTTCTAAAAAGGTCATGTTTACATGCACAGCTGACTTGCATTCCTGGTAATCCAGCTGGGCCTAGCTCTTAATCCTGTTGTATGGGTGTAAACAGTCCAGTTCACTAAGGTTAGTTTTGTTTTGAAGGGGGTTATGAAACAGGATCTGTCTGTGAGGCCCTAACTAGCCTCAAAGTCTTGATTGCCCCACCTCAGCCTCCCCAATGCTCCACACCACACCCAGCTGCTCCAAGTAGTTTTTGAAGCTGCATATGACAATCCTTAATGAGTAGGAAAATCATTTTTGTGGGTCATGACCAGCAAATTTCATTACCAAAAGAGCAAAAAGCCGAATAAGAGAACATCCTCTATAACAAAAAGGGTAACAGTGAAGCTTTCAGCTTTGTGTATATTTCAGCAAATCAAAATGCCACCAAATATGAGCCATGCCATTATTTTATATACTACTAAGAATGATAAATCCAGGGCCTGGAGGTGGAGAGATGGCTCAGTGGTAAAGAGCACTGTCTGCTCTTCCAGAGGACCCAGATTGAGTTCCCAGCACCTACATGGCAGCTCACAGCCATCTGAAGCTCTAGTTTGGGGGATCCAACACCCTCTTCAAGACCATGGTGCACAGACACACATGTAGACAAAATACCCATATATATAAAATTAAAACAAAAAAACCCAAAAAACTTGCCAGATGGTAGTGGCGCACTCAAGGAGGCAGGGGCAAGAGGATCTCTGATCTACAGAGTGACTTCCAGGACAGCCAAGGCTACACAGGAAAGCCCTGTCTCAAAAAAATAAAGTTTAAAAAAAAAATCTCAAAAGATAACTTAAGAAATGAAAACATAATACTAGGAATCTTGAATAAAGTTTCAAGGTAGTTAAAAAAAAATCGGGGCAATAGAGAAATGGTTCAGAGGTTAAGAGCATAGGCTGCTCTTCCAGAGGACCAGGGTTTGATTCCAGCACCCACATGGGCATTCACAACCATCTACTCCAGTTCCAAGGGCTGCATCGTCCTCTTTTGGCCACCACAGGCACCAGGGATGTATAAGTACACAGACAAACGTGGAGCCAAAACATCCTTACACTTTTTTATTTAAAAGAATGATAAAATCAAAACCAGACAGGCCTTTAATCCCAGCACCAGCTAAGCAGAAGAAGGCAGATCTCCCTGAGTTCGAGACCAGCCTGATCTACATAGCAAGTTCCAGGCCAGCCAGGGTTACACAGTGAAACCCAGCCTCAAAGAAGTAATAAATAAAATCATATCAAAATGTCTCATTGCTGTGTTCTGATTTCAGAGCTGTTAAATAGAGGAAGAACGCAATATTGAAATGTAAGGCATATAGAGCTGTGTATATTTGATCGCAGTGTGAAATGAATTTCTGGTTTTTTGCTCATTGCTAGGAAAGTTTGAGAGCCATGGTTATGGTGGAAGTACACAGGAGAAGCTAAACTTGGCTGAAGGTAGCAGAATGTTGAGTGCTTTCTGAGATGCAATGGACTACCTGCACAAGTTGAGCTGTAATGGAAGGAACAGTTAATGAGAGCTGGGGACATCGGCGGGCTCAACTAGGAGACAGCATTTTACCTGGCCTCCACTTGATGAGGCAGTAGCAGGACAATAGACATTCCCAGTGAAAGAGCAGACTGTAAGAAGGCATGAGCCTTCAGACCACACTCTGGAGAACTGAAGTACAGCAGGCCTGAGAAAGTTGCCTCCAGATGGAGAAGGCTTTGAATGCCCTGCCAACAGCTCTAGATTTCATGATAATGACAGCAGGCGAGGAATTTAGGTGATGCAACTAATTACCGATGGTGATGACGATGATGATGATGATGATGATGATGATGATGATGATGATGATGACAGTGTATGAGTGATGCTACCCAGGGAACCCAAGGCTTCTGAATACTGAGCTGGCTCTCTGCTGGTGATTGACAGCCCACCCTGCACCTAGTTCTTTGAAGTGAAATGGTTGACATCAATGGGAAAGGCAGATTGATAAGCAAATGACTGAAGAACCTGAGAGGGTAGGAGAATCTAGTGTTTCTGCCCAACTTACCCTAGCCTGCTAATGAGAGATGCTTAGAGAAGCCGTGCACTTGACTTAATTCTCTGCCATCCTGACTTTCCTAATAGTTCCTGTCTGGAAGTCAGGTGAGACAGAGGAGCGGGGGTGAACAGAGGGGATAGAGACCGTATTGCATTTTATCTCCCCACTCCCCTCAGGGCAGTCTCCGCGCCCACAGGCATCGATTTCTGATGGAGCTACAGATGTCAGAGTTCACAGCTAGGAGTCCAAGGGAAGTAGCTGTCTGCAGCTCCCGGAGGCCGCGCTTTCCAGTAAACAGAACTTGAAACCTAAGCCCTGTACTCTGATACTCCAAAGACTGAACTATGGTGGCATGGCCACTCTCGCTTTGTGCTGGCCAAGCACCTGTCCTGAGGACACTTCCAACCAGTCCCTCCTTATGCTTCGGAGACTCCTGGTGGGAGGTGTGTATCAAGAGGTAAAACAGTAAGGCTGAGTGAGTTTTGTGCAAATTTCTTGCTTCCCTGGTCAGAACAAAACATAAAAATGTTTGAGCCCTGAGACAGAAACTGTGACACTTTGGTGAGTATATGCAAAAAATAAGTGCTTGTGGTTACATGTAAAGCTGCCTTCCTGCAACATAACATAAAAATATGTAAATTTTTTCTTTAGAACCACATAAACAAATTGAAAACAAAAGGAAGCATTTTATATTTTTCTACCTTTAGCAGTCTTTCTCTCTCTCTCTCTCTCTCTCTCTCTCTCTCTCTCTCTCTCTCTCTCTCTCACCAGCATTGCTAGGAAACCCCACCCCCATGGCATCTCCCCAGCCCCTGAAGAAGGTGGCTCAAAGAAGGACTTCCCCACTTCCTGGCACTCCCCTCACTTCCTGAACAAGCCAGACTAGCTCCGCTCTCTCCAGGAGATCCAAGGCTGCCTCTAAGCTAGCTGCCACACTGGAGGCACACTTCCTGTAGTGACCACACTTGGGCCCCATTATTCCAGAGTTAGGTGGGGAGGAAGAACACGGTCGGTATTTATGACATGGTGTCTGTGGAGGACACAAATTCGAAATCAACTCTTAAGAACTCATCTCAGTCACAAGCAAGGGCTGTCTGTCTTCCAAGCTCAGAAAAGCCAGCACGGTCAAGAAGGATGTAAAACTGGGGCAGACACATGTCAACACGAAGTTATTAACAGTGATAACTTCACTCTGTCCCCTGGGAAGAGTCCAGCCCTCAGGAGCTGCAGCTGAAAGAACTTGCTTCCGCCTAGGTGGACGGTCTCTGGTGACCAGTACTGGCTAGGCTGCGGTTGACTAAACAGATGGTAATCCATTTAGAGATGACTGTGCTGAGCGGGACCCAAGATTCAGCCTGTCTGCTATTCTCTGGCGGTGTGCATAAAAAAACTTCTGGGTTTGACTCACGATCACCCTGGCATTGGCTGTAGTAGCCTTTTGGTAAGTGTTGAAAATTAAGTATTTATGCCAGCCATGGCCCAAACTTAGGGACTTAGCAGCAAGTGGTTTTACCGTGGAGCCATCTCAACAGCCCTTCCTCAGTTTTTCATGGTTGTAACACAGTGGCTGACATTAGTCACGGCGTGTTATTCTGGCTTATGGTTCCTAAGGTTCCATGGTCATCTGACTGTTGCTATGGGGCTCTGGAAGGCAGAATAAGGAAGCCAGGGACAAGACAGACCCTTGTAGTACCACTCTCATCCTCAGCGGCCTGCTCCTTCCAACTATACCCCATTTCTAAAGTTTCTACATATCATACCCCCCAGCACCATCTAATAATTTTACTCCCTCAATGGGTAACTGTGTTGACATCAGAATCCTCAGGGTCTAGTCACTTTCCAAAAGCCTGCAGCACGTGAGCCTCGGGAACAGTCCCCATCCAAACTGTAATGGGGATCTGCCTGGTTATTTTGTCCCCTGGTGAATCTGTTAGACCCTTTTTTAAGGTTTCCCAGAAGAATTCAATGCATGATTCTGAGTATTGCTTCATTAGTGTCTTGGACAAAATGCTTTCAGTTGTGGAGAGGTTGTCGTATGACAGTCAGTCGTAACTCAGGTTCTCTTCTTGGAACAAAGCTTGGCTTCCAGCTCATCCTGAGCTCACAGCACAGTAACGGCCTAAATGAATTACTGCAAACAGTGCAAAGTGGAACTCATCTGCCGTCCTTCTGTCCACTGACGTGGTTGTGTGTGCAGTTTGCTTTTCTTCAGTATAGATGCATCTGCTTGGAGTTTATTGCTGTGCTGGAGAGCTTCGGGACATTTTCAGCCCAGTGACTTTTCATTTTCAGCCTCTGAGAGTCTCATGCCCTCCAGCAGCAGTGATTCAGGAGCACTCCGCTCTGAGAGCACCAGGAGCTCCTGCTGGTGTCCATCTGGTGCCCTGACACCAAAGGCATTCACCAGACCTGGGACTGGTTCCACTTCTGCCACTTATTACTTGTTTGACTCCAGGCAAGTAATTTCATCTCAGGACATTATGAACAGAGCCGACCTCTCTCCTCTTGCAGAGTCATCCTGAGGGTTTCATGAGCTACTGTGTGGAGAGTGCCCTGGCAATGTGGAAGGGACACACACAGGGTGGTCAGGTCTCCAACCAGAAGCCTATTCCCCTACCGTGGCTTCCTGAAGGTGGCCTGGTCTCCCTCCACTCTGCTGTCATTCATTCAACAGGTACTCTTTGGGTGTCTACTTTATCTGAGGAAGAACATTTTCCCAGAGCTGAGGACTCAGTTCTCTGGTCCAACACCTGCCCAACATACATGAGGTCTGGGTTGGGTGCCCAGCAACAGAAAGGGCAGATACGACAACTCCCCAAACCTTCAGGGTAACTTAGTTGGGAAGTTGTTGTTTTCAATGCATGTCTTACACATCAAATGATGGGACCATTTTTAAAGTGTGGAGTGCGTTGTTTTGAACTTAATTACTTCTCAAAGGCATGCTGAAATAGTAAAGCCTGACACCTGCCCAAGCACATCTCTCAGGGCCAAGGGGCCAAGCAGTCTACCCGTATCTCTCCCTGGAAGGAAGGTATGCTTTCGGCTCCCTGGGAAGCAAGGATGCCTTCTGCTTTCGGCCAGGAGAGGTAAAAGGAAGGTCAGGATGGATAAGGTTAAGAAGACCGGGAGAGGCCGGGCAGTGGTGGCACACGCCTTTAATCCCAGCACTCGGGAGGCAGAGGCAGGCGGATCTCTGTGAGTTCGAGGCCAGCCTGGTCTACCAAGTGAGTTCCAGGAAAGGCGCAAAGCTACACAGAGAAACCCTGTCTCGAAAAACCAAAAAAAAAAAAAAAAGAAGACCGGGAGAAATTACCAGGTGATACCAAAGTGACTGGCAACTTCGCCATTCCCAGCATCCAGTACCATCGTGAATGTGTTCATTTACAAAGGCAGCTTTCATGCTCTGTAGTTTAGCCTGAGGTCAATTCAAGCAAAGAAACATTTCTTCTACATTTAGAAGCCTTTGTTGAAGGATTACAGATACCAGTTCCGGAGCAAAGGCAGAGGCTAAATATCCTCGGGGGGAAAAGAGAAACATTTAAAAAAATGACTTAGCTGGACAGCAGGGCATACAAGAATGAAAAGGAAGAAAATAAGTGGCTCCTTCCTGCCTCCCTCTGTGACGCAGAGATTATCCCTAAAATAGTCCCCGTCTCAGCTGAGGAAGACGCACCTTCACAAGTTCCATGATGGCCGACCAAGGGAGAGGAACAAGGGAAGGAGGTGGGAACTACTTTGGATTTTGATTTTTTGCCAGCAGAGGGCTGGTGGGGTTGTTTTGAGACAGGACTTCTCTATGGGGCCTAGACTAGTCTCAAACTTCAGATCCTCCTGCCTCACCTCAGCAATGCTAGGATTGCACCTGTGCACCAGCACCCCTGGCTGGAACCAGCAACTGCACCCGGACAAGAGTGCCCCCACTCCGGCTGTATCTCCAGCCTGGTTTTCCTTTTGAACTGGCTTCTCTAATAAGTTTCCCAGGCCGGCCTTGAACTCTTTCTATAGCCTGGTCAGGTCTTGAACTTGTGACTACCTCTTCTTCAGCCTCTAAAGTAAATGAGATTACAGGCCCCTGTCTCTAGGCCCATCAGAAACAGTGTTTGTGATGCAGGGGATGAACCCTGACCTCACTAATGCTCGGCCAGTGCTCTTACCTCTGAGCTCTGCTCCAGGCCAGGAACAGTAACTCTGTGTGGAAATTCAGAAGACTAACACGCTTTGAGGCGGGCCACAACCGAGGCCCATCTCGTGAAGCCAGTGTTTCCTACTCTTGCCCCACTGTTTTTCTTACGTGTATGTGAGTGTATGGCCTGCATATATGTGTGGGTACCACATTCGTGCAGTGGCCAGAAAAGGGGACTGAATCCCCTGGAAGTGAGGTTGTGAGCCACCATGTAGGTGTGGGGAATCTATGCTGGCTAGTTTTATGTCAACTTGACACAAGCTGGAGTCACTCGAGAGGAGGGAGCCTCAGTTGAGAAAATGCCTCAGTAAGATTGGGCTATGGGCAGGCCTTAGTGCATTGTCTTACTTAGTGATTGATAGGGGAGGGCCCATGGCAGATGGTACTGTCCCTGGGCTAGTGGTCCTAGGTTCCATTACAGTCGTTCTCAACCTTCCTAATGCAACCCTTTAAATTCCTCATGTTGTGGTGACCCCGAACCCTAGAATTATTTTTGTTGCTACTTCATAACTGTATATTTGCCACTGTTATGAATCATAATGTAAATATCTGTGTTTTCTGGTGGTCTTAGGTGACCCCTGTGAAAGGGTTGTTTGACCAAAACGGGTCACAACCCATAGGTTGAGAACCACAGTTCTATAAGACAGCAGACTGCGCAAGCCAATAAGCAGCACCCCTCCATGGCTTCTGTATCAGCTCCTGCCTCCAATTTCCTGCCATTTGAGTTCCTGTCCTGACTTCCTTTGATGATGAACAGTGTTGTGGAAGCATAAGCCAAATAGACCCTTTCCTCCCCAACTTGCTTTTGGTCATGGTGTTTCATCACAGCAATAGAAACCCTAACTAAGAATCCAACCCAAGCCCTCTAGATAAGCAGCCAGTGCTCTAACCTCCGAGCCGTCTCTCCAGCCCCTCGCCCCATTATTTGTAAGCCGTACACACTGTATTGCCTTAGGAAGGATGAAGCTCAACTTCTGTTTCAGGCTGGTCTCCCATCCACTCTCCGAGAGACCCGTGATTTACAACCTCAAATGGATTTTCATCTTTTCAGCTTTCCTGTGTGTCTTCAGTTGTTGAGTATTCTTTTCGGAAAAGCTTTTTATTTTTAGTAATTCAGACTTAGAGAAAAGTTGTACACCTGGGCTGGGGATGTTGTTTCCTAGTGGAGTATTTGTCTAGCATGGCAAAAGCCCTGGGTTCGACTCATATTACTGTAAAAGCTGAAAGGGGCAGGGGCCTGGAGAGATGGCTCAACCAGTGAGAGCACTGGTTGCTCCTGCAGAGGACCAGGATTTTGTTCCCATCACCCCTGCGGTAGCTCCTAACCATCCATAACTCTAGGTCCAGGGGAATCTGACACCTGTACCAGGCATACACAGAGTACACATACATATGCACACAAAACACATGCAAATAAAATAAATATAAAAATAAATAAATCAGGAAGAACTGTCCACACATAGCATAATGATTTCTTCCTGTGTTTAAGATAGAACCCAGGTTTCATTTAAGTGCTACACTGCTTAGCTGCCGGCCAAAACAAAACACACCAATTTTCACCTGAACAATTAGAGAGTAAACTGCCAACGTGATCCCTGTGGTGGCATTCAGACCACTGGCTAACTCTTCCTTTGAGAAGAAACTTGGTGTTTAGCTGTTGGGACTGTGGTTGCACATGGCTGTCAATCACTTCCTTCAGGATTTGCCTAATCTGCAGAGAGCATCCTTGCCCAGAGAGATACACCTTTCCTCAGTGGCCCAATCCATTGACAATCAAAGCAAATACAGAAAGAGCCACGGACTTGAGCCCTGCTCCTGGTGACGTTGTGGGCCTTGGCTGTGTAAGGGCTCCGTGGTGGGGTTAGCTCAGGCCGTCAGTCTGCATCTCATTCCAACTCCTCCTCTGCCCAGTCCTGTTTCCTTCCCCTCCCATCCACAGATGTTGATCCCAACAGCTCTCTCTAATAAATATCCTGAGCCCTGAGTCTGTCTCAGTCTGCTTCCTGAAAAATCCAAACTCCTGCAGTTGGAGCCAGGGGCGGTCTGAGAAGTCAGAGATCAGACAGGGTTTGGAGCTGGCCCGTTCACCACTGGCAAGACAGGCCGCAGGTTCCATGAGTGACAGATGGAGCACAGATAGCCTTTGGCACAAGACAAGCAATTAAAATACTTTGAAAGTATCTTTTTGTTCACTTAAAAAAGATTGATTTTGTTTTTAATGTGTGTGTGTGTGTGCTCCCACACACTGTGTCTGTGGGTATGTGAGTGTGAATGCTGGTGCCCACAGAGGCCAGGTGTCAGGTCCCCCACCTGATGTGGGTACTAGAAATCAATAAGCACTCTTAAACCCTAAAACATCTCAAGTAATTCAGGCTAGCTTCAAGCTTCCTATGTAGCCAAGGTTAATTCTGAACTCCTGATCCTCCCTCTTTACCTCCACTGCCCGGTGCTAAATTATCAGCCAATAATATAACACCCATCTTAAAAATACGTTTTTTTCAACACAAAATGGAGGAATAGACAGACAAAACAGAAGGAATAGCAAAATGGCAGATATAAATCCCTCATATAAAATGACTCAGCCAGGTGAGTCAGCCTTTGTCATCAGCCACACCACAGCTGGCACAACAGATGCGTGAGTTAAGTGACCCTGTGGCAGACCGAGACTCTCCAGAGCCCAGTGGCCCAGTTCTCACTTACTAGGGCTTAACTACTTCTTGCTCTCCAGTGTCCAACTCGACAGCCTGGGAGGCCTGTGGAAGTCTGGGTATGGATGGCATCACACCCCCAAGAAGCCATCTGGCGACAAAAGCTGGAGACGCTGGAATCCTTCTTCGGGGAATGATTCATTCTAACAGGAATGGACAAGTATTTGGGTGAGTGTTTCGATTGTCTCATCCCTCAGGCATCACCCTGGGGTTCTGGAATATTCCATTAGCATAGAATCTCACAGAACATTGCATCAGACTGGGGGATTCAACTTGCAACACAGAAGCAGTGATGGTGGGTCGGTCCCTGACATGGAATCTTCTGTCTGTGTTGCTCACAAGCTGTATCTATGCCTGCTGGTCTGCCTCACTCTGCAGAGATGGAATGCCATTTTCCAGGCTGCATAAGGACAGAGAACAAAAGGGTTTCACTATGGTTCTGTGTCTCCAGCAGGAAGAATATGTGGACCTGGGAAACAAACTTGCTATCACTCCCCTGGGTCCCAGATCCACTCCTGCCGTTCTGATTCCATAGGGCTGAGGTACCTGGTTCCTAAAATGGGACTCTCTCTGCACCAGGTGAGGCAGCAGAAGTCCCTTTGAATAACTAGCAAACTGAACACTTTGTGTGCCTGGTATCCAGAGACAAGGGGAACAGTCTCCCTGGGGGGACATCATCATCAGGACCCTCCACATCCAATAGCTGATCAAAGTGTGGTTCTAGACTCAAGGCCTGGACCAGGGAAATGGCTCAGTTGGTAAAGTGCTTGCCTACCGAGCTTGAGCCTCAGAATCCATGTAGGAGTAGGAGGCCGGGTGCGTCAGCACATGCTTGGAATGGTGGAGACGGGAGGATCTCATGGGACTCACCAGCCAGCCTGGCCTACATGGTGCCTTCCAAGCCAATGAGAGAGCCTGTCTCAAAAGGCAAAATAGACAGCTCCCAAAGGATAAACCTGAGGCTGTCCTCTAGCCCTCATATGCATGTGCACACATGAGCATATGAACTTACACACACACACACACACACACACACACACACACACACACACACACACACACACAACAATAAAAATTGGTCCCAGCACTTTCAGCCTGATTGGGGCGCTGTGGTTCCAGAGCGCCTCATGGGTCACTTGAGGCTGCTGCTCTTCCTTACCGCTGTGTTTCCTGTCCCTGCGCTTGCTTCCTTCTCTTCCCTTCCCTTCCACAGGTGTCAATTTCAGAGGCACTCCCTAACAAACATCCTGGATGCTAAACTGTGACTCAGAGGCTTCTTCCTGTGGAGTCACAGCTATGAAGACGCTCTGTTGCCCCTAGAACTGTAATGTGTTTTCCTCACAAATGAGAACACTCAGAGCATTTCAGCAAAATCATCTAAATCAGGATTTAACAAGTTTGCCTCTCATCTCCAGACTCTACTGAAATTGTCAACGTTCTCAATAGTATCCTGTGTGTGTGTTCATGTGTATGTGGGCATATATGCACATGGTAGGGGGCTTTGTGTATATGCATGTGTGTATGAGTGGGTGCATGTGTGTGTGTGTTGTGGGGGGGAGCTGACTGGAGAGAGAGCCTCAGGGTCTCCACCTCCCCAGCTCTGGGATTACAAGCGGACACCACCATGCCGGACTTTCCCCCGTGGGTCCTGGGGAGTAAACACTGTACTGACTGGGCTGTCCTCCTTGCCCTAATCACACCGTCTTTATAGTGAAAAGACCCTTCCAGAAATCACACCTGTGTTTAGGTGGCATGGCTCCCCAGTCTGGTTTTTGTGTTTGCTTCATGGTCATTAACGTGTATATGTATGTGTACGTGGGAGGCGTGAGGACAACTCTGTGGAGTTAGGGAATCCGATCTCTCCTTCCATCCCTGTACGGGTTCTGGAGGTTGCATCATGAGCAACATCATCCGCTGCGCTGTCTCACAGCTCCTCCCGCCTTGTTCAACACTGCACAGCTTCTTAGTCATTCTTTCCCTTTATATAATATTCACACATGCAGGATTATGTAATCCTCACGCACGCAGCAGCCCAGGCTGGCTTCAGACTCCTGCCTCTACTTCCCCAGCGCCTCAGCGGGCACCACCATGGGCGGCTTTCCTTTGACTTCCACGACTCAACAGTTCTCCAGATGATCGGCCCCTTCTTTTTGTAGAAGGTTTTTGAATTTGAGCTTAGCTTGCAGCAGAGAAACTGAGGGGAGATCTCTGCAATGGAGTCCACTGGCTGTATCACCACACCTCCTACAAGTTGCCCCTGCATCCGCTCAGGTGCCATGCTCTGCAGGCATGGACTGCCATCTTCCAGGGTACAGAAAGACAGAACCCAAAACTGGAGTTTGATCATAATTAGACTGAGGTCATGCACCTTTGGACAAACTACCAGAGCAGCCACTTTTCATTGCATCCTAGTGGGTGGCACATGCCGCCAACTTGTTTTATCACGAATGCGGGTAAACTGTGACCACTTGACTAGGTGGTGACTGCCAGGATTTCTGTGAAATTACCTTTTCCCTTTGAAATTAAGTTTTTTATGGGGACATGCATTACAGCTACGAGTAAATAGAATATAAAGAGCAAATATCCTGCCCTTCATCAGACCTTGAGTGTATTTATTCATTCCTTTGTGTCTGCATTGGATGAAGGACTCCTGTTCATGCAGGAAATTATAATCCATTACTTCATTATTTTATTTTTATTTTGTTTTGTTTTTTGAGACAAAGTCTCCCTATATAGCCCTAACTGTTCTGGAACTCTCTATGTAGATCAGGCTGGCCTTGAACTCACAGAGATCCACCTGCCTCTGCCTCTTGAGTGATGGGATTAAAGTTGTGAGCCAGCCACCACAGCTAACTTACTTCCTTGTTTACTTTTCCAGGCTTTCCGTGGCCAGTAGGAGCCTGTGCACGCACACTGGCCTCCTTGTCCTTTCCGCTGATTCTCTCATTCCGTTGTCCTTGCTCCCTGTGTAAGATGCTCCAAGCTTACTCCGTATCTTCCATGCTCCAGCCCTTCAGCCATTATTTTAGAAGCCAAGATCTGGACCTTAAATGTGTTACTTACTCTTCTGTTCTTGGGCCCATTGACACATACAGCTAGGGAATATAGGAAATATTCACATGCGTGTACATGTGTGTACTTATAAATAACAATGTACACATTTAGAGCTATAGTTGTTTCTAGACTCTTCTGTGTAGATCCAAAATAATGTCACTCTCACCTCCAATTCTTGTCCAACTTGACCAGCCTGAGTCCTCTCGCTTCCTATGTAGGCAATGACTATCTCTACTGGTGAAAAGCTTAGGGCATTCTCTGTGTTAGCAACCTCCCGACAGCCTGTGAAATTGTGAAATATAGATTTGGCCTTCACAGAGAGATCCACAAACCTGTGTAGTTTCCTGAGTAACAACAGCTGCTAGGAGAATCTTTTTTCCCCTAATATTTGGTCATTGACCCTGGTTCCTGACTCAGAGATCTTCAGACTTGTGTAATTTATTGAGTTCCTGCCACATCTAACTCGGAGCCTCTAAATCCTTGGAATTTCCTGAGCTAGGTGCATCCTCTGTTGTACCAAGGCAACTCTTGACCTGTTCCTGGAGAGCCTCAAGATGGAGATGGTTGCCAGGGGAACCAGCCATGTGATCAGATGGGGCAAGAGCTGCTTAAGGTGGATCTGGACATGAATGGCCAGTGCTGTAAACAATGCAGCTTCCTAATGAAGCCTCCATAAAACTTCCAGGGATAAAGTGTGAAGACCTTCCAGGTCCCCAGCTGGGGGTGGGGGGCACTCAGAGCGCACTGCATCCCTACAGCCTCCCATATCTCGTCCAGCCATCAACTCCATCTCTTGTACAAGTCTTTCTAATACGTGGATGTACATGGGCAAAGTGTTTCCCTGAGCATGTGAGCTGCCCAGGCAAACCAAGCAAACCTAAGAAGGGCTGTGGGAACTCAGATCTACAACTTAAGTGTGAAGCCACCCCGAGACGGCTTGACAAGTGGGGGCAGTCTTATGGGACCATCCGTTCAATCTGTGGGTTCTGCCTCTTCTAGGTAGAAACTGTCAGAAGTGAAGTGTAGGAGTCCTGGTCTGTGTCCACCGAGGAAGCTGGGGTCAGCAGTGTTGAGTGTGTCCCTGGGTCAGGACACAGCCCTTTCTCTTATGTCTCTTACTGTCCTCCTGCCCCTCCAGTGCGACTTTCCTTCTCACCTGCACTGCAGGTGCCATGGACCGTGCTCAGCCCCAGTGCCCCGAGTCTCCACGGGCAGCTTGACCAATGCACCCTGCAGGCTTCCTCTCTCCTTTCCCTGCCCTTTGTCCCACGTTTACCTTCCTTGGTTTCCAAAGTCTGACGCCAGGCTGCCTCTCTAAAGGGACTCCATTCTCCCTTGTCCCAGAATACTCTACGGGTGCCCCTCCCTTGTGGGATGCCCTCTCCTTCCTAGTAAAGCCACCCTCTGCGCAGAATCCTTCTTGTCCCTCTTGACTTTGACCTCCTTTTCCAGACCACCCTCCCACCCAAACTCTAGACCACTATGGTCCTAAAACCCCCACCTTGCTCGGGTCCTGCCTCAGTTTGTTTTCTATTGCTATAACAAAAGAACTGAGGTTGGATACTTTAAAGAAACAGGATATTTAATTAACTCACCATTCTGGCGACTGATACGCTAAGATCAGATGATTTCTGGCGAGGAACTCCTCGGCTACATCACACCATGCCAGATGGCATCATGGCAGGAGTACAACACAGAGAGAAGCCAGGCAGCAGAGAGGCCTTTTTATAACAGCAGTGAATCTTCATGAAAACAAACTCCCCAGCTCCTTCCAAGGGCAACACCTCTGATGATTTAACAAGTGCCCTGGACTCTAGCTCTTAAAGGTCCTACACCTCCCAACACCACTCCACTGAGGACCAAGCTTCCACCGAATGAAGACACACCCAAACCTCAACAGCCCTACACATGGTTTGATTTATGTAGCAAAGGGAGGGAGGAGCAGAGAGGAAAGTAAAAGAAGTGACACACCATTAGTCACTTTTCAAGTTTTATTTTATTTTTTTGAGTGGGGGGGAGGGAGACAAAGTCTCACGTAGTGCAGGCTGGCCTCCAACTTGCTACATAGCCGAGGGTGACATTGAACTTCTAATCTTGTCTCTACCTCTTGAGTGCTGGCATCACGAGTGTGCACCATGCCTGGCTCATGCAGTGCTGAGATTGAACCCAGGACCTCCTGCATACCAGGTAAACACTCTACAACTGAGCCACATCCCCATTCCGTGGGGTCACTTGCAGTTAACATTATCCTGAGATTCAGCTCCATTTTGTTTTGTTTTGTTTTTTAAACTCATTATGGCATCTGTTAAATTTATATTTGCCAGGGGAGCCAAAGCTGCCTGCCCAACTCATTCTTTTAGTTTTTGTCTTTGTTCATTTGAGACAGGGCCTTGCTATGTAGCCCAGGTTAGCCTCCAACTCTTGGTGTGCCTCCTGCCTCGGTTTCCCAAGTGCTGCAATTACAATCACAGGCCACTGTATCACTTTCACCCATTCTTTATGATGCCACAAACTCTTGTAGCAGAACCTCCATGGCTCATGCAGGGCAATAGGTAACAGCTGACCCCCAAAGTTCCCCTCACCATTTCTGTCAGCAGATGTGCCGGGATAACTGACCCGGGCATGGGCTTTAACCACCTCTGGGACCTACTAGAATGTTTGCTAATCTTTCTAGATTGTATGTGTTCACCCCAAGCTGTCTGTGCCTTATTCATGCAGATTCTCCTCTCAGGCCTGTCTTCCCATTGCATCTCCAAAGACAACAAGCCCTGGCATCCTTAAAGGCATCCCACATGCTGTCCACAGCCTTGCCAGTTTTCCAACTCTGAACCCTGGTAGAAATTTAGGTATCTGTGACATAAGTCCTTTTCTGTTTTAGAGTCTAAGAAGTACTAAGCTCCTTCCTGGAGACAGGTACACAGCAGAGATTAGACATATTTGTTACACTGAAACATCAAAAAAGTTTATATATTTATTTCTCTGAGACAGGGTCTCACTTCAGGCTGTCCTGGAACTCTGTAGATCAGGCTGGCCTCAAACTCACAGAGATCTGTTTACCTCTACCTCCTTAGTGCTGAGCTTAAAGGTAAGTGCCACCATACTGACACTTTTTTTTTTTATAACTAGCATAAGACCAATTTTCTACCTTAGGGAAGATAAGACACTTTACTCATCTAAAAGGCAAGAAAGTTAAAATGTTTGCCTTTCTCTCCCAGGATGCAATGTGCTGTGTTAGTTCAGAGGTAAAACCTACCCACACTGCAAATTCAGACTTGCCCATGTAAGTCAACATTTTTATCTTCCCCAAATGGCATTCCATTTTAGCTTTTAAAGCTATGAAATATTGACATATTTTCATTTCCCACGGCATGTATTATTCGTTACTTTCCTGTTGCATAAAATCCTATTTTCATCTGCAGAGACATGGCCCCAATTCCTCACTCCTGGTAGGCATTACATAACGACAGCAGGAGAGTAGTCTGCTTCTCTGTGCTGGTCTTAGCCTGGAATCTCATAATCTGTTTCAAAGCAGGGCATTATGGACAATCTGGCTGGGCTGCTCGGGCAGACAGTTTCTCCATTTAACTATCGAGAGCAAGAAGAATCATTTGGTGGTTGTCTTTTACCCAGCACTGTCTTCTAATGCCCCGGACCCTCCTTGTCATCCCAGGGCTGACAGGATACTACGGATCTGCAGAGAGGGACTTTACCAAGTTCAGTTTGGAGCATGTCACTTCTCTCTGTGCCATCTGCTACTGATCTTGCTGTGTTCAGCAGCTGAAAATACAGAGTTCTGGTATTTTCCTCATGCCCAGTCATACTGCTCTGAACGTCTGTTTGTCCCTACTGACCTAATCACCAAGTTAGCAGAGTCGGTTATTTTAGGAATTTTAATCTTTACATAGAAGAAAAAAAGAAGGGCTGGAGTACAAGCCAAGGCATTCTTACAACAGAGACGGCTTCCTGCCAAGTTCCTCCATCCTTATCCTCGTGATCTGTGAATGTGACCCACATGGTGAGAAACAGCACTGAACGGATGGTTCAGTCAAGTTTGGAGGTGGCCACAGACACAGGAGCCTTCACCCGTAGAGGACAGAGGCAAAGGGGGATGTCATACACGAAGGGAGAAAGGCAGTGAGACCACAGATGGAGAGATTCTACTGATGGGCCCAGTAGCCAGGGAGTGCTGACTGCTATCAGGAGCCCACCAAGACAAGAAACTGGTTCTCCCTGGCCCTGCTGGAGCCATTTTCCGCCAGTGAGACTGAGTTTCCAGCCTCCACACCGGGAGTGGTTACACTCTGCTGTATTCGGCCACCAAACTGTGGTCAGCCACAAGCAACTCAAACAGTAGCCTATCCCTGAAATGTTTCTATCTTTGCTGCTCTCCTTTCTTGAGCCTGTGTATTTTTAAAATCCAATTTTGTCCTTCATAACATGTTTTCTCTAAGAAAATAACTTTCCATGTTCTTTTCAACTTCCTTAGATGTTGGATTTCAAACTAATTTAACAAACAATCATCCATTGTGGCCCTGGAGTGTTTAGG